GGAATTTCACATGAAAACACCTGCGTACCTGATTTTTTTTTCCCCACAATAAAATCAATGAAAAACAAAAAAAAAAATATATATTTTCACCAGGTAGAATCATAAAGACTAATCCTCTTAGGACTTGAGTTAATCCCTTCAGCGATGAGAAAATTAATTCGAAACTTGTGGAGCATCATTAGGGTTTTAATTACATCTTAAGAAGGGCTCTTATAAAATATTAAAATACCTTTTTCGTTAGTGAATCTTATTAAAAATGTCGATTGCTCATAATTTGAGGGTTTATGAAACACCTGGCGAAATAAATCCCTAACACAATATTGTATTTGAGGTCACAATTTATCTTCAAGACACTGACAACTTATTCTTTATGGCATATTATTTTTCCGGATCATTTTTCATGAAGTAATAAAACGATATCCGGGTACCAAACAAATAGTTAGAGTGTCCAGTAGCTCCTATCATAAATCTTGGCTCTATTTAAGTTGGAAAAGAAAAATATTCGTTTGTAGTTTGTGATATTAAATTTTAAGATAAATTTGTCTTTTTTTTTCTGTGGTTGATTTATTGCTCCAAAGTTGGAAATCACGCAATGTCTTCCACAAGACGCTTCTGGATTGCTTTTGACAGGCCAAAGGAAGAAACTCGATCAAAAAATTAAGAATAAATACGAAAGACTCCCGGCAAAAAAATATCCATTTATCATTTGGTCTTTTAAGGTAGAAGTTTAAATAATAATTTCTCGATTTTTTTCAAGGGGGTTCTGATTTGCTTTGAGCCTACGCCTTAAAAATTCTATTTTTAATTAGAAAAATTAATAAGAATGATAATTTTCACTTTACTGTGAATAGTGAATCGATGGTGCTTGATAAATGATAGTTGTTACGTTCGAATTTTGCCTTAATACGTAACTGAGATTTCGAATGAATTCGGTAATTAATTCAGGTATTTGTGAGGATATTTAGAAAGTCTTATACCTGAGGATTAATATTTTTCAATAATTGATAGGTTTTTCATTGGATTTTACTACATTTCTACCTCTTTGATTGGATGCGAAACAATATCTAGTTGTTGAACAAGGGTATATTTTTCGATAATAATGAGTAAATTCTTTGTATGATGACAGGGTAGTGTTAGGATAATGAAGCCCTACTGTTAGGATCGAAATCTATTTTATTTAGCTTACGAAAGTTGTCTAAAAAGCCCTAAATGTCGATGAAAAGGTTTGTTCATTTCCAAATTAATATCAATTGGCAACAGTTACGATTCACGTATTTTCCATTTTTAAAAATTCTGCAACATCACACATCACTTTCACAGCTTTTAAATCGCTTTTCCACCCTTATTTCCACTATTTTTTACATTTTCCCGGTTATTTATTTCCCCAGAATTGTGGTTAAGGGACACTTGTGGATCCGTTTCAGGCAGCGCTGTTGTCGAGGTTTCTTGACCACTGTGGGTAATAGAGTCACTGTAGTTGTGACCACTGAACGACTGGTCATTTTGATAGTTTTTGTACTAAAGACTGGGTAGATGTTGATTAATAAGTAATTAATTAGTGTTAATTTGTGTTAGGGGAGAAAACTTGATAACAACTTTGAGTTTTGTTGGTCATCAATGTGTTTTGGGTTGTTCCGTTCCAAGCTGATTGTTCCGTTTTTCTGGTCAAGACCGGAAATCTGGCACCAGAGGGCATTTGAATTCGCACGTTGAGCAAACAACAAGTGGCAGATTTTACCAGCGGTCCTCTTTGCTAAGTTCCTTGGAACATCCACCTTTTGTGGGATTTTGGAGGCGTTGGAAACTCAAGTGGTTGCTGGCCTAATTATTGGTTTTGGGGTAAACTTGGATTTGGTCGTAAGTCCCCGTATTTGTAAGCCAACCACTCAGAATTTTCTGGAGACAAAGGTCGACGCCATTTTGTTGAATTGTCGATGCGAGAAGAGAGCACGTTTTGTTCAACTAGCCCAATTTGTAGCCAGGTAAATTTAAACGTTTATCAATCTGGATTTACCTTTTTCGTTATCAATATTTAGATTAGCATATCAGTAATTTTTGTAAATATTAGGGATTCAATAAAAAAAAAAAAAAGAATTTGACCTCCACGAGGGGCCATTTGTCAGTAAAAAACTCATAAGTCATTTCCAAAAGGGGCATTAATGGGCTAATTAATTAAGGGGAATTGTTTTCAAAAGGAAACGGGTTTCAGGGGATTTTCCTATATTAATTTTATAATGGATGTATTAATATGTATTATAAGTATAAAGGGGTTTAAGTTCTGAGAATTTGTCCTCTTTCAGGGTTTTAGTTTGGATTTTACCTCATCATTGGGTTCTTCCTTTTCGACGGTTTGCTAGTTGAGGTATCAGAGTACCCAAAATATTGAACTTGAAATCGAAAGTTACTATTTTTAAGAAGGGAAGTCTATGGAGGTTGATGGGTTTGTTATCAAGACTGTGAGGCTGTCATGAGACAGTTATAGAAAATGGATGTTTAGATTGCAGACAGGACCACAAGGGGGTGATGTACCCATTCATTTATTAACGTTTCTTAATCATTTTTTTTTACTTATTATTAATTGTATTTCTTATATTCAACTTGATAAGACATGTCCAAGTTCTGTTTTACTGCCTTCAGTATTACAATGGGTGTACTGCACCAATGATTTTTAATTGACCATATTTAAGGTGACATTTCTGTACAAACCCTCACCGGTATACCATGGTATAAGTGTGCACAGGTTTCAATTAATATTTTTTTTATTTATTCCTCAATTGTTCTCTTTTACTCTCATTGGGGTAAGGTGGTCAAACATTTATTGGGTAATCTGGAATTTCTTAAACATTTATTGGTTAATCTGGAAATTATTAAGACCAATACAAATTGGTCTTTTAATAATAATTACTTGGTATTTTATATATGCATAATTATTCAGATCTAAACATACCCCCTCCCCCCTCCCAGAACATATTAAATAGGTTTGTACTCATTGTTTTTATATTTGACTCTTATTTTACCCCTACTGACCTCAACGAAACTAAGGTAAAGTTTATTTAAAGGATAGATACATCAGGTTTTTATCATTTTTATAGGAATTTTGGAGATCAGGGACTTTCTGGTTCAAGTCCGCGGATTATATTTTGTAAACCAGTGGCGCCCTATATAGCTAACTTTCAATATTGAACCTACTCCCATACCACTGAGTAGCCGCGAGCACTTTGTTGCGCTGGCCGTATTCCTTAAGAGTGTCTTACTGTACCTAGGTCTATTAGGATTTATTTATTCGAGTTTAGTTTTCAAACAGGTTAAGGGTTAATTTTTGCGCAACATAGTGACTACGAATAAATGTATTATTAATTGTTGTTAAGTGACAGTCAAATTTATATTAAAGGCTTAACCATATTTGACATTTTACACCCTTGAAAAGGTTATTAAATTTTATTACTGAACCATAAGTAATAAGCATTTTTTTCCATTTAACAGCAACCGTTTACTAAATTAAACGAATTTGAAAGGGGGAAGTAACGGCACATCGTAAAAACACTTCGTTGCCATGAAAGGGAAAAATAATTGAATTTCTTATTAGTATTTTTAAATTTTAAGTGTGAATTTTGTTCGTTAAAATTGTATTCATTTTATTTTTAATTAAATTTTCTTTTTTTCATTTGAAGAAGCAGGGAACGGCGACTACTTTAATGAGTTACTTTATACAGTATGGCAAAATGTTAGTTTTAGTTTCATTATTTGAAAGGGGAGCTTTTACAGGCAGTACGTAGACGCGCATTTGGTCCATTGTGCTATTCTCCTCTTGGTGCAGCCCTGTCTTACCTTAGAAGCCCGCAATGCTTTATTTCATCAGGTTGCAGGAAACTGTACCCGAGGTATTGTAGTTTGCGACTGACGAAGGCGTCACATTCGCATACCTTCCAGGAATCTGTCTACTGCGTACTATCATAATATATTTTCATTTCCATCATAAAGACGAAGTCGTTGTTTCTTGTTGCAATATTTACCTGCCACCGATACTGTCTACGATGTCCTAAATTATAATTCGTATGTTCTGGAAAATGCCTGAGGCCAAATTCGGAAACTTGTCTTTGACGTGGTCTTCAGGTTAAAGGGGTTTATTTGCACTGCAAGTCTTCGGAATGGGTAATACGTATTTGTGTTGTTTCTGGTGCAGTCGATGTAGGATAAAATATACTTGCTAGAATTTCTATTGATTTCGAAATTAAAAGGGCTGGAATTATTTCACGTCCCTTCTTATGCCTTTAAGGGCTGAAATTTTAATTACCTTTTACCCTTAACCTCCAGACAAGGTCAATTAATGGGGGTTTTATTGCTTGGAAAACGAGTGATACAAATGTAATTGGTATTTAAATACAGGATACTGTAATTAGATTAAGTGAAAAGTTGCAAATAAATCTAAGAAACATCCGGTCAAGTAGTTGCTTTTCTTGGCTTGTCTAGCGAAATATGAGCTTTCTCAGCAAATCTAGTTGAAATTGAAATAGAAACTAGAAGATTGAAGGCCATTAAAGGACAAACGGCAACTGAATAACCGTCTCATGTTGATTCTGAATATAATATTTACTTCCTTTAACATAGTCGCACCCTTAGAGCTTTACTGCCTAAAAAATGAGGGATTCGGGGTTAATGACAGTAATTAAAATGCACAATCCTGCCTAATGCCTCATGAAAAGGAGCCGTCTTTACAAATCAAAATTAAATTATGCTCACCTCTCGTAACACAAAAAAAAAAAAAAACGAAACTTTTCAAGCTCGAATCCCCTGGCAAGGGTCCCTCTTAATTCGAGCTTATCTCGGGCAATTAATAATACAAACAGATAAAAAAAGGGGCCCTAATTCGGTACTAATTTCGTCGAAAGTGGCAGAGATACGAGGCCAATATAAAACTGGGGGGGTAATGCGATTACACAAAAAGCTTGCGCGAACTGGAACGCTTTGCGCTACCCGGTAGCTGAGCCTGATATTGTTAAATGGAACTGACTGATTCTGGAGGAATTTGGTTTAAAAGGCTTTTTAAATATACTCTAGATTTAGTTAGCTTTAACGGTAATCACACAAATTGTCATTTAATCAAACTGGAAGTCAATTCCTCTATGTTTAGATATAAGTTTTTCACTCTAGTAGTTCCTCGAACTCTTCATTATTTTTTGGCACATACTTCTTTGGGTATGACCAGCACATTGTATTGTATCTTCCACTTCCTGCTTTGGGATCCTTTTTAGTAACTTTATATCTAACATTGTCCGTTTATGTATTCCCGACTTCTAAAGCGTCATTTCTTCAGCCAAATATTTATATGCTGCAAACTCCTTTTGTTAATGAATTAACAAGAGGGCCATAATATGCTCAGTTTTCTCAGCAAAAAATCAATAGGGGTGGGTCATAAGTCAGAGGGGTCAATAAATACAGAATGGCAAGGGCGCCACTGAATTAAAAAAAATAATAAAAAATCATAAAATATTGAACTATGAAAATTCAGAAACACACCTAAAAAAAATAATTGATAATTCTGAAAAGGAAATAAATAAGGCATATAACTCAACCAAATCTTGACATAGGTAAAACTCTCCACTCTGCAAGCTAGTGTTAAACAGTGTACTCACAAATGTAGCAATATGAATAATGCTTGAAAACATTTTATGGCTTACACAGTCCACACCCATATTATTGGATTTAATTCATTCAAAAGCCCGCCTTCTCTTTTATTATATGAAAGTTTCATGAAAGACAACTTAACCAGAAACTCTGATTCTTAGTTCTAGTAAATATAGTATTGGCCTATTCGATTTGCTTTAGCCGAAAAATTTAGTAGGATAAATTTCGAAAACTTTCGTCCTAAATCAGTCTTTCCAAACAACATATTTCTGCTGAACCGGAAAATGCGGATCCGAAAACAGCTGTTTTCCATTACGAATCGAAATAATGCTCTCTTGTGACAAGGCTGGAATCACTCAGTGGCCATTATTCATATTAGTGCCACTTTGAGGCGCAATGTTATTTTCGCCCTGTCATCTTTCTTTCGCTCTCGTATTTTATTCGAGCTTGCAATTTATATGTTTTGATGGTGAGAATAAATAAGACAGAACTGTAATTAACTGTATTAGTTTAGCTTCTGCCTAATTTTGCTGATTACCAAAAGTTCGAAACTCAACTGTCAAGGTATTCATATTAACGACCGCAGGCGTAAGGGTCTTGTATTTTCGAAGGGCCATAAGTTGATTTAACCCTTATAATAATTAAAACCCTTGCATGTCTTGAGCTCAAGTTAGGTTAGAATTGGGTCCCTGCTGTTTGCACAGGATGAATATTTTATTTAGTGGTGTAAAAATTTTATATAAAATAATACAACAAAATAAATTGTCATCTATTGAATGTGAGCTATTAAAAGTTTAATGGTAAAATGTTTCATTTAAATTCCATTTGTTTTGAATGTGTTTATTTAACCTTTACAGTAAAAATAATTTATAATTTATCGATACACCGTTTCATTTTTAAAAAATCTCGTATTTTCTCGAGCAAAAATTCAATTTAAGCCGCTCGACATGTTTTTAATGGAACGATTTCAAAAATAAAACGAAGTTATCTAATATAAAAGAGACACGTAATATGTGGATGTGCAATACACCTTAATAATACATAACGGGTGTCGGGTTTGAAAATTTTAAAATGGATTTTTAGCTGCTTTGACAAGCATTTGTCGGTTTGGGATAATAATGATTGATGTAGCAGCAAATTTTATGCAGTTGGATTTTTATATGCTTCAAATATATTAAATTAGAAATAAAAATAACATCGAATACCTGAGAAAGTTCTCATTCATAATGAAAGTTCTAAATTAAAATTTCAAAACTACTACGAGCCGTTGCAGTTCAATTCGTGAAAACCTGAAAAGGTGCCTGAAATATTCAAAAAGCCTTGGCGCTTCTCAAGGAACGTAATTAAATCTTAAATATTGCGCCACAGGTAACAAAATTAATATTCTTTCTCTATCCCTCCCTTTCGCGCGCTCGGAATGGATAAGCTTTAAATCCAGGACTTAAGCTGGGCGTGAAAGTGGATTCGTTCGTGTTCGTTAAAGCGAGGTTTTTAATTTTGCCTTTATTAAACTATACGCAGATTAGACTTGTTGAAGATGGCTCGTAAATGAGCGCAGCAACTCTAAAAACAATAACAAGTCTAGAGCGAAAGACATTTTGATCCTGAGGAATCACATAAGCCGAGGCTGATCCTTGAGAAATAATTGACTAGATGGACCCATTGTGTGATAAGCGTTAAGTTTGTTGGGAAATAAATAATTTAATAATTCTCTGGCCATGTCTGGTTAAAATAGTAATGGAAAGGAAATGGAAGATAGAGTGGCAAAACTGTGCGTTGGAACAAAACGAAGAAAGGAACACAATGGACCAATGGGCCTTCGAGTGCAAGCTTTAAAATTAACAGTTTAGGTTTTGTAGCCTCTCAAAGTTGCAGAAAAGTCAATTTTCTACTGTCATTATTTCCAAAACAATTCAAGATAGGTATATGACATTATGCATGAAATACGTCTAGAATTTTCCGCAGAATCCAGAAATGTCATAATATATAGGGTGTCCCATTTAAAAAAAATATATTTTTTTGTTTTTTAAACTTTTTGCAACACGCTGTATGAACAAAACTATGTTTTCTGAGAACTATTTTTCAAGCACTACAACTTTCCTATTTAAATTTTTTTATACGCAGTGGTACAAAAAAGTTAAGGGGCTAGGAAAATATAAAAATGACCCTGTACATTACAGGCAGGGGGGATAGGCCCCCCTCAAACTTCAAATATACAACATTTACTTAGGGCCGGTAATATAAAGCTGGTGAACAGAGGGTTGAGTTTCAACCAGCGAAAATGTCTGTTCGACCGCTGGTTGAAACTCAACCTTCGGTTTACCAGCTTTATAATACCGGCCCTCAATAGTAGGACACACTCGCCTAGCGAGCATTGTGGGCGCTTTAGCCTTTAGGCATATAACTCAACCAAATCTTGAAATAGGTAAAACTCTCCACTCTGCAAGCTAGTGTTAAACAGTGTACTCACAAATGTAGCACGCAGCATGCTGTGCTTACACACTTGCCTAGCGAGCATTGTGGAACTTTAGCCTTTGGGCATATAACTCAACCAAATCTTGAAATAGGTAAAACTCTCTACTCTGCGAGCTAGTGTACTCACAAATGTAGCAATATGAATAATGCTTAAAAACATTTTATGACTTAGACAGTCCACACCCATACTGCTGTACATTACAGGCAGAGAGGATAAGCCCCCCTCAAACTACAAATATACAACATTTACTTAATACTAAGACGAGACTTCTTGAACTAAATGGCAACGTGCGTGCTCTCACACTTGCCTAGCGAGCATTGTGGGCGCTTTAGTCTTTAGGCACATAACTCAACCAAATCTTGAAATAGGTAAAACTCTCCACTCTGTAAACTAGTGTTAAACAGTGTACTCACAAATGTAGCAATATGAATAATGCTTAAAAACATTTTATGGCTTAGACAGTCCACACCCATACTGCTGTAAATTACAGGCAGGGGGGATAAGGGGGGCTTATCCCCCCTAACCCAAACTAACCCAAACTACAAATATACAACATTTACTTAATTCTAAGACGATACTTCTTAAACTAAATTGCAGCGTGCGCAGCACGCTGTGCTAACATACTCGCCTAGCGAGCATTGTGGGCGCTTTAGCCTTTAGGCATATAACTCAACCAAATCTTGAAATAGGTGAAACTCTCCATTTTGCAAGCCAGTGTTAAACAGTGTACTCACAAATGTAGCAATATGATTAATGCTTAAAAACATTTTATGACTTAGACAGTCTACACCCATACTGCTGTACATTACAGGCAGGGAGGATAAGCCCCCCTCAAACTACAAATATACAACATTTACTTAATTCTAAGACGATACTTCTTAAACTAAATTGCAGCGTGCGCAGCACGCTGTGCTAACATACTCGCCTAGCGAGCATTGTGGGCGCTTTAGCCTTTAGGCATATAACTCAACCAAATCTTGAAATAGGTAAAACTCTCCACTCTGCAAGCTAGTGTTAAACAGTGTTCTCACAAATGTAGCAATATCATTAATGCTTAAAAACATTTTATGGCTTAGACAGTCCACACCCATACTGCTGTACATTACAGGCAGGGAGGATAAGCCCCCCTCAAACTACAAATATACAACTTTTACTTAATACTAAGACGAGACTTCTTGAACTAAATTGCAGCGTGCGTGCTCACACACTCGCCTAGCGAGCATTGTGGGCGCTTTAGCCTGGTCGATATTATTGACCGCAAACCCCGGTTCCTATTTTTATTACCACTTTCCACGACGCTCTCCGGTTGCCCTTCAACGTCAATTATTTGACCCTGAGGTTTCTGGTGAATACCACGGATGGCGCGCACTAGGTCATTACACTGGCCTGTCTCGAGAGTGAGGGTGGAATGCTCGGAGTCGGAATTGAAGAGCGCGCAGCGCTCATTTTGTTGGGAAAAAGCATAGAAAAACCCCACTTTTCATTAATTTTAGACTATAAAAACAAAAATGTTGTGCCCTTGGGCTATCGGGTTCACTGGACGCGTCCTCACTAGCAATTGTGAGCTTCGGGTATGTGCGCGTGAGCGCGGGTACAGATTGAATGGGTTCGACAGCCCTGCACCCTGACCAATCCTGAGACCTGATGAGTCTAGGTAAGGGTTTTGGTGCAGGTAGGGAGGTTTGTAAAGGATGTCAAAAAATGAAGTTTGGGAGGATTGGGTGCAAGAACTTACCGGGATTGGGACATGCATTTTTCAGCTAAACTGGGCAATTTGTGCCTATATGGTTGTTGGTCAGATTGGGATGTCTGATGTTCAATTAGACAAGAGTGGTTTCCTCATAGTCAGCGAGAGAGGAGTTTGCCACTCACTAAATTTGCTGATTAGTTGAGATTTTACAAAGAACTAAGGGTAGAAATTAGACCTTGATGGGATTGCCAGAGTCTTCTGCTTCAGACTAAGGCTATTGACGCCAGCGCCAAACTTTCTTGTCTAATTTTGTCTTGACGTTGAGATTTTAGCTGTGCATTGGAGAGGGTTTTTGTTTGGGTGTATGATTAGCAGGATTGGGATGGAGAGGTGTTCATGGGGGTTTAAAATAGATTGGTAAATTCTTGTCTGGTGGACCGTGAACTATGGGGTTGTCTGGAACATATCTCGTTGCAGTCATTCTGCGTGTTAGAGGGGATCCTTGAACTTGGTGTCTATAGAATTTTTCGCTTATTTCATCCAGGTTGTCAGAGATATAAGGAATGCATGCTTGCGCATGCATATCTCTTATTCTGGCGTACCTGGATTCCAACAGCACTCTCCTCAAGATGCGGTTCTGAAAACGTGGTAGGAGGTTTCGCTGAGATGTGGAGATTATGCGAGCCAAAGCATGGGAAACGTGGTGATGGAATTTCATTATCTGGTCATAAAGGATTCCTAGGTATTTCGCCTTTGGGGACAGAGTGATAGGGATGTTATTCACGCTAAGTGCGGTGGGCATGGTGCTATTGGTGTTTCTTGTGGAAACATATCAGGTCCGTTTTTTGTCCATTACCAACAAGCTGGAATAAGGTTGAAGAATTGCCAGATGATGGGCTAGCTGAAATTTTGTTGCTTGTGTATAAAAGAATTGAGTATGAACAGCGGTGTCATCTGCGTACAGCACCAAATTCGTATTCTGGAATTTTGGAATGTCCGCTGTGTACAGAGAGTACTGCAGCGGACTGAGGGCCGACCCCTGCGGCACTCCTGTCTGAGTTGGTTTGGAGTTTGAGAGGGCGTCGCATACACCAAGTTTCAACACACATGGACGGAACCTACATAGTAATAAGGAGCTTATTCGAGTTAGGACCGATGCCCTAAATGTGTGGCTCTATGGGAGGATTGTGAAGTTTGGCAATGAGCGAAGAACCACGCAGATGCTCTAACAACACCAAAAATGAAACAAAAAGATCTGTAGTGTCGTGGTGGCTGAGTTGGTTAGAGCGTAGCACCGGCAATGCTGAGGACGCGGGTTCGAATCCCGCCCAGGGCCAAAATTTTTAATCCCCCAATTTTCCTTAACTTTCTCTCCATTTTCAATAACCTAGAATAATTTCTAGAGATGCTCGATAAGGAATGCATCAGATTTTCCATGAGATTGCTGGAATAAGGGCCGGTTTACACGAAATTAGGTGAACTTGTAACTAATCGAAAGCAAATCATATTTCCATCAATTAACTAAATAAATTTCAGTGAATAACCAAGAATATTACTTTAACCATCGGTGCGTATAATTTGAACCTAAAATGCAAATCTCAGCCAAGACGTGTTTGTTATGCTACTACTAAAAATCTCATAACGATTTATCATTTACTACGCCATGGCGCTTAAGCTCTACATAAGCGCTTAAACTGTAGAATAATATTTCATTTTTATGGTTATCTTGCAGCTAAAGTCTTTTCGGATTAAATGGAACCTGTCGCGATTTAGGAACGTTAAAAAACTTTACATCTATTTCAAGCGCCAAAGATTTTTAAAATGAGATGAGATTCATAGCAAATCGAGATGGATTGGACAATATACATAAAGTAGTTGGGATATTAAAGTCTGCGTATTAGATCCTTATTGGTCAAGATCAATGAGAATCTTTATATAGTGTTTACTGTGAAAATAATCCCCTAATAAATCTAGTAATTAACGACATTTATTGTTTTGGTTTTTTTTGCGGGCAAAGTGGAAACAAAAGTCAGCCAAGTATACGACAAAATACTTAGGGACGTCGTCGCCAGGGGAAGCCGCCCCATATAAATCTTAGCTTTCGGGCAAAGATAACGTTTTTATAAGATATTTATTACAGTTGGAACAAGAAATATGGCGGTATCGGGTCCCCTTCCGTCTTCCCTTTGTGTTGTTTAAGAGAATTTGGGCCGAGTGCTTTCAGGAACTTATAATTGTTTTATGTGTGAACTTTCTTATGTACAGTTTTTATAATTCAGAAATAACAATGCGCAAAGCATTCAAGAAAATGAAGAAGTACAACAGACGATCTAGGATAAAAGAATCTGGTTGTTTACCTCTAGGCACGCTTATTCTGGGAATTTTATTGTATACGATTTCTATAAAACTTAAACGAATCATAGATAATTAATTTATTGACAGATCTAAAAGAAGTATAGATAAATTGATAGACCCCCTTCTGTCGAAAGTCCCGTATAGTTTGGGATTTCCGAACAACAAAAAAATCGAACAGTTAAAACCGGGCGTTGATCTATCACTCCATATATCACTGTCTCGTACGCTCTAAACAACCATACATTAAAAACGACGAGACCCAATCCTTTCCATGTTAAATCCCTGCGAGATGTGGCATCGTTAGTTTCCGGGTTTTTACCAGACGTCTCTGCGTTAGAGAGTCATTTTTAAAAAAAGTTTCCACATTGGATCAATTCCAAATTCACGAGTTTCCAGTGCAATTAAGATGTGTGTGGTATTTTTTTGCATCATGAAATAATTTTAAAATAAATTATTTCCTTTTATTAAATTTTTTTTTAATTGTTTCAGGAGTAATCAAGACCACTGCAATACTTGACATAGAAACGAAAACTCATTATTGGCTTACCGTGTTTGCTCAAGACCACGGAGTGGTCCCTCTGTTTTCATCGGTCGAGGTAAGTAAATAGCAATTTCACTGGTTTAATTTTGAAATTTCAAGTTGTTTGACAATACATAAAATAAGATTTTATGTTAGGTAATGAAAAGTTTCAAGAAATTGAAGCTGCTTAACTGTAAATCTGTGTATTCTATTTAAATCCTAAATTTTCCATTTCAAATAAAATAAGTCTCACCTCCTAGCGACATTAATTCATTCCTCGTATAATAATGTTTCATCCAGAGAATACAGATATATGTACCTATGACATAAAATGGCAGTAATTTTGAATGCTAGTACAGTTATCCTTAGCTCTGTTTTATTTATATAGGAGCGCTCGTTACAACTATTTCGTTTTTGTAATAAGCTTGATTACGATGTCATTAAATTCCGAAATTAAAACCGAGCCCCTTGAAACCTCCAAAGATGTCGCGCCCTGCTATTTCGCCTATATTCCTTTCCAATTTTCACCAACCGTGACACTTGGCAAGTTAATAGGGTAACGGTAACGTTAACGGCAAAATTAGTATTCGCGGTTTAATTAGTTTTGCGGCATTTCCATACTCGCGCTAACCCTGTATAGTTTATAGACAAGTTCCGCCACAATTAAATTACCTTTGGTTCTAGGCATTGTGCTTCTTGTATTTGATTTTCATACAATACTACCTGCAAGATCTTAGAATGGCATAGGCATAATATGGCAACGTCGTGATGTTCATCAAACACAATTCCTTGACGAAAGCACCTTACCTCCACATTAACTTACCCATTTTGAATAAATTCTCTTCAAATCTGAGCTCATGGATTTTCTTCTCTTGAGGACACCATAACGTAACATTTTCTTAAGTTCTTTAGGATAAGGAGAAAAAACTGTAGTTCGGGCTGTCGTATCGTACCTATACTGAAAACAAAAGGTTTACTACCACTTTTTAAAAATTTTGCTGGTCTAAGTGCCTCACGGGCCTAAGGTGGCGGAGCAGCAGCGCATGATAGGTGGATATGCAACACAACCAAAAATTCTTAGCTTGTCTAGTCTATGTTTATCTCCTTCTTTTTACTAAATAATCAGTTTTAGCTTGATTTCCGACTGGAGACACTCTATCAGTCCGATTATTGATGCATGTGCGAAATCATGTTTGCCAACATCTCGATTCCAATGTCATCACAACCTATAAGAAAAGAAGCTTCATGATTCTGCTCAGATGGCTTCTATTTCCTCGTGGCAAGTTTCCTGGATATACGCCGTTTACTCCAACTCTCTGGAAAATCCTTTGTAATGTTTTCCACACATGGAAATTGGTGGTCTTCAATGTACTCTAAGCGATTATAGGTTAATCTTTATACTATTTTCACAAGTTTCTTCGTGTGTTATATAATTTACAGTGTGTTGGATTTTCTAGGCATTGAAATTGATGAAAAATTTTCTTGCCTCGACTAGGATTTGAATACAGGACCCTCGCATTTCCAGTGCAACGGTCTATCAACTGAGCTACGTGCGTCAAGTCTCATCAATTTTAAGTTGTTCGGCAACCTTCGGCGGTTATCGTTGGTATGGGAGTGAGTTAGAAGGTATAGGGGGGAACATATTCACAATTAGTAGTTGTTTGAAATCCAATCGAATCTACTGGACTTATTTGTCTCAGAACCCTCTCTGTTATACTACTAATGAGCAAAGTTGCATTTTGTATGTTATTTTTTTTTGTTACCACTATGTTAAGCCTAATTGAATTTTGGTTGAATAATGCAAATTTTATTCCCCCAGATTAACTAACTTAGCTTCAAGTAGCTAAATTTGGTTTAAACTTGTTTTGGTAGTAGTATAGCTCGGAGGGTTCTGGGGTGAATTAATAGCGCGCTAACTCACCCTATATTCAGTAAAAGTAGGAAACGAGAAATTCTTTTCAATTCAGTGGAAGCGATATAATAAAACATAGTGAATGTATAAAATCTTAAAGTTTAATAATTTTTGTTAAATTTACTCAACATAAGTTTATTATACAAAAATATTTTGCATGTAGGTTGGTATATAGGTACATGTTAGCTACATACAGGATGATTCCAAAATGGCGTATAAGCTCTCCACTACGTCATGGGGGATCCTTCAAGTAACCCTAGAAAAATAGTTAAAATATTATAAAGTTACTATTAACAAAGTTATTAGAAGAACACTGAGTGGTAAAATTGGCAACATCTTGAATACTTCCACCTATATTGGAATGCCTAGGGTTTTCCGAAGAGCGTTTTTCCGAGGAGCGTTTTTCCTAGGGGACGTTTTTTCGAGGAGCGTTTTTCCGAGGAGCCGTTTTTCCGAAGAGCCTTTATCTGAGGAGCTATTTTTCCAAGGAGTAGTTTCTCTCTTAGTATTGGTAAGTTCGAGTTACTTTCGGTTACTTTGAGGTAGTATTGGTAAGTTTGGGTTAGTATTGGTGAATTTAGGTTAGTATTGGTAAGTCTCAACGAATCCATTTCCATAAGGCCACATTTTTAAAAGAACTTCATTTTCGTAGAGCGTGGCATAGAGCTTCCAGTACCGCCATATTTAAAGAATGTACCTATATTTCATCAATGATAATCAATGAGTAATCTCAACAGAAGTCAAGGTTGGACAACATGCTCCAAATTTACAAGTATTGAGTAAGTACCTACATCGTCAAAAATTGATCAATTTTTAACCCCTTATATATTTGAGGATTTCTATCATATCTCCTGAGCATTTAACCCAACTTTCGATTTCATACAGATGCAAGTTGATTTTATTGAATTTATTCTTCAAGCAGAAGCTGACCATATTTATCAATACAATTTTCAATCATTAATTTTGTTTAATTACTTTTCTAAAAACTTAAATATTCATATTTTTATTTCGTGATAATGATATGGCCAGCGACTATTAATGAATTTATATGGCAAGCATATTGAGATACATTGTAATATTATTGTAATTACCTTTGTTCTAATAATGAATAACTTTGTGCCTGGTCGGGGGGCAAGAATATATATATATATATATCCTTGATCTCAAAGGAACGAGAGACTTATTTTCTCTCGCACCTACGAAACACGTCCTCTTGGGTCTTCCAAATTTTTCCTGATTTTTTTTCCAATGATTACAGCTTAGTGAAACAAAAGTTGTTTCATTTCTCGAAACATATTTTACCCTTATCAACGATTCCGGTCATATAACAACGTCCTTGTGTACATTCCATAAAAACCACAGTCGAATGCCGGAAAGTACATATTTCTTATCCGTGCGTTTTCTCTCATATTCCCGCAGTTTTCGAAAATAAAAATAAGGAAGATGTGCTTTGTACGTGTATAACAATAATCATAAATCATATCGCACTGACCGCACACAATAAAAACACCGAAACAGATGGACGTAATCTTTGTTTTTTTTTTTTGTGGGGTTTTCGGAATTTATAGAGCTTTTTAGAGGCGCGAACTCATTAACCCGTGCATAAAACATCATTTTCTTGTAGCTCCGTTTTACGAAATTAATCAATTTTCCTATGCTGGAAATATGAATAGCTTTTGTCGATGCGAAACAATATTGCCGAGAAAAACTCAGGCAACGGTTAGGTAGCGATTCTTTACAAAGTCAAAGGTCTGGCAGGAGCTATTTTTCTCAATTTTCCGTAAAGTGACTGTGGAAAGATTTTTCCCGCTTATAGGGGGTTCGACGTTGCACTTTTTTACGGGTTTGCGTTTAAATAGGGTTGGCGGTTTTCAAAGCGCTACCGTTTGAGACGTGATTTAGAACGCGATATTGTGTTTTCGAAGGAAAAGTGAATTTTAATGTGGGATATAGAGCGCAAATGCATTACGCGGGATTGTTTGAAGTTGCATGTGTAATGTTACTTGCTTGCTTACTTAACGTGGAGCCCCTTTCCCCTGGAGCCCCTTCGAACCATGGTCATTAGTTACACAAAAACTTGAGGCGTGTACCCTTTTGGGGCACCACCTTGTTACCCCAAAAAGTTGTTAAAATTTAAAATAACACTAATGATTTTTGAGAACAGCAATCATAAGAAAATCATTATTGTTATTTTAAATATTCACATTGGGGTAACATTATTTTTGGCGCCCAACGTGGGGCAAGGGAATTAAATTGAATTTTATAAACCCTAGCTTGATGTTGATATTCCTTCAATTTGGTCTAAGGTATGGATTGAGGATATAAATGTAATTCTGTAAGTGGGTATTACTTGGTAGAAATCAAAGACAAATTGGTATTTTTAAGGTACTTATTAACACCTGCCTGGTTACTTAATTTGAGTCGGAAAGTAGTTTGATTTCAGTAAACCGGACTTAATGATTGGTTGGAGTCAAACAGAAAATGACTATTCAGGCCTCTGCCTGCTTTCAATAGAGTTGATAGGGATGGACACACAAATTTGGTTTTCACCGACTCTATTTAAAGCAAATGGTCCAATATTCCCACAATAACAATTGATTTTGATTTTTGAAAACCAGAACAGCAGTACCTATTTAAGTCCAAAAGTTTGAATTGACTTACCTCAGGAAAACGTGGCACTACCAATCGGCACTCACACAAAATGGAAGCACACAATTAGATAAAAAAAATTAAAATATAATATTTATATTTGAAGAACAGATAAGATAAGATTTATCAGGTAAAAACTTGCTAATGATATAATAATATGCATTGATAGCAAAATATATTGAAAAATCTATAAGGGAGAATCCCAAAATACAAAGCAAAAATTATTCAAAATAAAGAGGACTTGCCTGCCAGACTTCCGTTGAGAGAAGAGATCGTTTTAGAAACCAAAGCCTACAAGATAACGATCCTGTGTTTTTTTATACTTAACTGCATTTTAACCAGTTCAACCAATCAGACGAGTACACCCAAAAGATCATATTCATTTCACAATGAAAACCCACGTGGAATAAAAGAGAATAGATAAAAATCCACTAGAATTATTTTAATTGTTTACAAATTATAATAATTTAAATTAAGGTTATGTCAAAAATAAAAAACTGTTAATTAATTAGGTCATTGGGCCAAAAAATGATTATTTCAGAATCAGAGATAAAGATAACTCAAAAGGAACCCATGAAACAACGATATGATACGGTGTCACCTTTTAAGCAAGAGATCATCAATGAGGAACTTGATAAAATGATTGAGTTGGGAGTTGTGGAGAAATCCTCAAGTGCTTGGTCTTCACCAGTATTGTTGGTACCTAAATAAAAAAGACAAAACTTGGAGATTTTGTGTTGACTTTCGTAAGATTAGTGAACGGGATGCTCACCCATTGCCATATATTGCAGATATATTACGTAAGTTAGGAGGTGCCAAATATTTGTCATCATTGGATATTCAAAGTGCTTATTGGCACATCGAACTTGAACCTTCTTCTCGCCAATATACAGCGTTCACGGTGCCGTCCAGAGGCTTGTTTCAATTTGTTAGAATGCCGTTTGGTCTCCATAATGCTCCTGCAACATTTCAACGTTTGGTCGATAATCTTTTTGAATTGGAGCCCTACATCTTAGAGTATTTGGATGATATCAACCTTGGAAAAACATATTGAGGTTCTGGAGAAAGTTTTCAATCGTCTTCAAGAAGCCAATTTAACCCTGAATCGTGAAAAGTATCATTTTTGTTGTCCAGAGCTCAAATTCTTGGGTTATATTAATAATCTTTCTGGAATTGCCGTCGATCCAAGTAAAGTAGATGCTATGATGGATCTACCCCGTCCGAAATCTGTGCGAGAAGTCAGAAGAGTCATTGGAATGATAAGTTGATATCGTCGATTTGTAGATACATTTTTAGATGTTATTGCCCCTCTCACATTACTTCTCCATAAAGGCAAAAAGTTCATTTGGAGCTACGAGTGCGAAATCTCTTTTTCTAAAATTAAGGATGCGTTTATTTCTGCACCCATTTTGGCTTGTCCACAATTTGACTATCGTTTCAAACCGATGCTTCAACATATAGTCTAGGGGCAGTGCTTACCCAAAAGTTTGATGGGGAAGAATATGTCATCGCTTATCTTTCCAAGACCTTGTCAAAGCAAGAACGGAATTATTCTAGCACTGAACGAGAATGCCTTGCTGTTTTATGGGCGATAGAAAAACTTAGATGCTATTTGGAACTTTTAAAATTCTGTGTTATTACGGACTGTCATTCGTTGGTCTGGTTAGATAACCTTAAGAATCCGCAGAGTATATTAGGTCGTTGGACATTAAGGTTGCAGCAATTTGACTATGAGGTCATACATAGTCGTGGAAAAGATCATGTTGTTCCAGATACCTTGTCTAGAGCTTTGCCTTTAGAAGCGGAATGTAGTTATATTGAGGCTAACGATATCAAAGATCCACGGTATTTGAAGATTTGTTTCTTCTTGGAAAATTTAGTAACCAAGTGGGGTTATCAGTAAACGTGAATAAAACGAAAATCGTTGTTTTTAGAAAGAGTAAACGCCTAAAAAAATACGCAGAATTTTATTACAACAAGAATAAACAACTTCAACCAAAAATGATCTGAACTGCTGGTGAACCTTAGCAAGAGAAGTATCAAGAGTCTAACCGGGTTTCTCTCAGAACATCGCAGACTCAATAAACACCTACAGAAATGGTGTTTGGAAGAAGGTGGCACCTCCAGATTCTGTGACGTCGGAGAAGATACTCCCCAACATCTTCTACTGAACTGCGATGTTGTTGGTAGCTCAAGGATGAAGAACCTGAGAAGTCCCCTTATACAGTTGGAAGACATTTCAGCCCTGCACCTAGGACTTGGGACTATCCGTACTTAGCAGCAGAAGGAGGGGTACAATAGATCAACCTTGGTCGGAGTGCAAAAAAAAAAATCTAAAGATTTATCCTTTTTTTTTTCAAAGTTTATTAAGTGAAAAGTATAATAGCATGACGTTATTTAGAGAAAACCGATCCTCTTACTTTGCCATTCCTATCGAAAAACTTTATTATGGCACACAAAGTATCTATATAGTCTCTCAGCAAAATACACTGGTGCACCCCTCTCGAATAAGTAGTCCTGTTCAATTTCAGTTCCTCGGGGATAATATCTCGAGTCACATGCGCCGGAAGATCTCCATATTTCGCCAAGGCCTTTTGAACTTCGCACAGCAGCTTTATCATGTGCGGTATTTGAGAGTTGATCATCTTGTGATCGGAGAAAAATTCCAAATGGACCGATATTTGTTGAAGCATGCTGTGGATCGCTGTTAAAGTTTTTGGGATGTCATGTCTTGTTTCCGTCAAAGTCGATTCGAACTGTTGGAGGTTGAGACTTTGGAGTCGTTGGCCTGCGAGGAGCTTCTTGGTAAACTCGTAGTCGTTATCTTCGCCGAAGAATTCACGACATACCTTGTCGCATATCTCCTTGATGTGGTAAATTGCTGTTGCGGAATAATCTAAGAAACAGTTTAATTTCAATGTGTTTAGTAATGCAGTCGAGTTATTTACCCAAAATTCTTTGCACATAAGTCTCTACTGTAGTCGTGCTTTTGCCCAACTGTACCTTGGAAGTACAGGGATTGTACCAAAAAGGTTTCAGCACATTCGGATCAGAATCAGCGCTTGTTGATTGTGCACCTGGGGGCTGCAGAGAGTCATTCCGATCAAGTTGAACGCTGGTTGATTGTGCGACTCGAGGCTGCAGAGAGTCATTCGCATCAGAGGCAGCGCTTGTTGATTGTTTCGCTGAGGGCCTTGGTGTCGCTTCTGCCTTACTGGGATTTGGATTTTCGGCAATTTTGTTGGATTTCTACTACTCATTCACATTAATTTCTTTTCTGGATTTTTTCGTGACATGATAGATTGTGTCAAAAAATTACGTCACATAATTTATGGTGTGTTCTGTAAGAAGCTAAATAATTATTCAAGATGGGGATGTTATTTTGTTTTAATTGCAAATGCAAATGATTTTGAATAAATTAACTCTATGGATGATCCTATCAGTGAGATAATTGAAACTACACCAGAGTCAGTAAATATTGGCTTAAAAGTTAATCCCAATTTTATCCTGTATATATAGTTAGGGATCATAAATGCTGTCAGGTTATTCAAGTTGTGTGCTCCAGCTCGATGGCAATATATTTGACAATTGGCGTAAGTTTAGCCAAAGGTTTGATTTGTTTTTAACAGCTACCGGGATAAGTACAAAACCGGAAGATAAAAAATTAGCAGTTTTCCCTAAATCTAGTAGGTGAGGATGCACTAGAACTGTATAATACTTTCACGTTTGTACAAGGAGAAGAAAAAATCATGGAAGTTCTTAAGAAAAAATTCTACGAATTTTGCTCTTCCAAGAAAAATGTCATTTTTGAGCGTTACAAATTATACTACGAGAGCCCGTGACACAAAAGCCTCAGTCATCTGTTAGAAGGCAGTTTTTTGGTGGACAACTAAAAGACGTATTGGTTGGCGGGTTTCGGTGTGCAGAAGCTGAGGGGTGGAAGAATTTTCACTAGCCCAAAAAATTTAAAATCATATAATGACGTTTTCGGTTGGTAGAACTAATGCAAAGAAACTATTTCTATCTGCTTCTTTAACAGGCTGAGAGGAAGAGATGAAAATAAACTCAGTGCGCATTAAACCTTGTCTGAAAAAAAAACCCACATCAGAATGGATCAAATTTGGCATAAACCTCGGCATAAACATTCTTTGATCGATTATCTACAATCTACAATATCCTCGACAATATCTATGAATACTCTGGTTTTTCGATATTTTGCGTTTTTCTCAAAATGGTAAAATTTGAAAAATAGTAGGTTTATGTGTATAATCTATAGTTGTCTATTTGCAAGGTTTAAGTCGTTATGGATTATCTCTAAGAAATACAGAGATTACCCAAAAAAAATCGAAAAAATAAAGTACATATTGGTATCGTAGATAATCAAAGTATAGGTCCTCCTCTGTTTCTGTAGAAATCACAAACCAGTCGAGCGAATTTCATTGGTTGAAAACAGTCAGAAAACTAGTTTCAACCAATAAAATTCACAATTCCCTCTGAATGGTTTGTGATTTCTGCAGAAACAGACCTTATGTTTATGTCTGATTTGAACCAATTCTGATTTTTTTTCTTCAATTTCCCATAATATTTACTAGCTATGTAACCTGCGGATGAAATCGTATACCTATCAGTTAATAAACGTGTGTTTTTTTTTTAATTCATGTTAAAACCCCCATACAAGTTTTCATATTTAAATTATAGCCAGGGAAAAAAACAACCTCAATTTCACAAAAACTGCTCTATTGTTCCTTTAAACAGAATGTTTAAAGAAACAATAGAGCGCCAACCGGCTGCCAACCCAGCGCAGAATGGACGAGGAAGTGGAAATCTATAATTCCCACTTTTTTTCGTTCTTCTGACTTGTGGGGTAAAAACTTCCCTCGCGAACCTTACTCAAAACGCGTAGGGCATGGTGTAGGGAGGGGGAAGGCCCGCCAACCGTTTCTGTTCAGGCCTCAGTATGTTCATATTATTCATTCACAACAAAAAAAAAGCTTCTGACTCATAAGGCAGAAAGCATTATTTTGGGGTAGTGGAAATTCATCCACCCCTGAGCTCCTGCGCACCGAAACCCGCCAACCAATACGTTTTTCAGTTGGCCAAGGACTTGGTATACCGGGCCACAAAAAAACAGCCTTCTAACAGGTGACTGAGGCTTTTGTGTCACGGGCTCTTAGACTATTATACATCATAGTGCAACAGGAAGGACAACTGTTTGATACATTTGTGACTGAGTTGAGAAAAGTTATCAAGACAACTGAATATGCTCAGCAAGAAGAAATGATTCGAAACAGAATCGTAATGAGTATTCACAATAAAACAACTCAAGAAAAATTGCTACGAGAATTGGGTTTTAACATTAACAAAAGCGAGCAATCGAAGTAAGCAGAGACCAATCCAAAGTGTTACAAAATGAGGGTGTCATTCATGAGATTAAAGCATCAGGATCAAGATATCATGGAGACCAGAAGATTTGCAAATACTGTAGCTATAAACATGCCAAGAATCGTTGCCCTGCCTGGGGCGTGAAATGAAGAGGCCGCAACCACTTTGCTAATGTTTGTAGAACAGACAATGATCAAGAAAACAATGAAACGCCCAAAAGAATGGAAAAAGGAAAACATATAAAGAAAAAAATTTATGAAGTAGCACAGACAAGTAGGAATGAGGTGCAGAGTGATAGCGATAATGATGATAGCAGCAATGATTATGACTTTTTTGTGAGTACAGTGAGCAAGAATGACGTTGTTAACAGCAAGAAACAAGTAAATAATGAGACAATGTGGACAAAGGAGATGTTTGTCAATAATAAACTTGTATTTTTCAAGTTAGATACAGGAGCTGAGGTGAGTACTTTGCCATTACACATTTTAGAAAATATTGCCCCTCAGGCTCAAGATCACAAAACAAACATATCACTTATTCTATATGGTGATTCGGGCAGCAAGATAAAATGTTTTGTCGAAGTAAAACTTCCATGCTCTGTTGAAAATGTTGAAAAAAATTTGTTATTTGTTATAATTAAAGGTAAAGATCAGTATCCTCTATTGGGCCTGAAAAAATGCATGGATTTAAAGCTTATTAAAAGAATTGACTCCCTTGAAAATATTAAATTTGAATCTTTAAGTGATGTTATTGAAAAATATGCTAGTGTCTTTGAAGGCTTGGATAAGTTCCCATCCAAGCATCATATAACTTTGAAAGACAATATCAGAACTCGTATCAGTGGCATTAGGCGAGTGCCTCAAGTGCTACACGAACGTTTAAAAAATAAATTGCATGATTTAGTGGAAAAAGGTATAATTAAATCTGTTGACAAGCCATCAGAATGGGTACACCCATTGGTGATTGTTGAGAAGCCCAATGGCGACTTGACACTGTGTCTTGATCCAAAGGAGTTTAATCAGGCTATCAAAAGGAAGCACTTTTTAATACAATGTGTTGATGAAATCGCTGGTAAATTGAGCAATAAAGAGTATTTTACAGTACTTGACATGAAGGACGGGTACTGGTAAATTGAGCTGATTTGATTGATGACCTTTGGAACGCCATTTGGCCGGTACAAATTTACTAGAATGGCATTTGGATTGTGTTCGGCCCCAGAGGTTTTCCAGAAAAAAAAAATTGAAATCTAATAATAACGGGGTCATCTGGGGCTGAGCATGATAAAAGTCTTAAGATTGTTTTAGACCGAGCCTTGAAGTATAACATTAAATTTAATAAGTCTAAAATTCAATTCAAAAAACATAGTGTGAAGTTTATGTGCCAGATATTTTCGGGAAACGGGGTGCAAACTAATAAAGAGTACCTAAATGCAATAATAAATGTGCCAACCCCATTTGACACTATTAATTTGTATGTAAATTCTAAATTCAAAAATTGAATAAAAAATGACAGAACCTCGGACAGAACTGTCAAAACCTGTCATTTGTTTTAGTAGAAAAAAATACTCTAATCTGGTTCTTTCTCGTTTTAAGGTAGTTTATTGGTGATAAAACATTGAACAAAGTTCATGCACGTCATATTTTGACAGCTGCCAGAATCTGTCAATAGCTTTAACTCAAAAAGGAATCAAATCTAGTTCTTTTCTAATTTAAGTTAGGCTTATTTATGATAACGCATGAAAAAACATTATACGCAGGTTTCAGATTTTGACAGAGATGTCAATTTTCATTTTAAAGTATGTAGTTTTAGTATAAAGGATTTTATATACCGGCGATTTTTTTTCAGTACTTTAATGGAATCATTATAGTTCTTAGTACTATAATGAAATCATTAAAATATTCAAACATTTTGACACTTACAAATGAAATCCACAATGATGTCATTTTGACAGCTCTGTCATTTTTTTTTCTTCAATTTTTGAATTCAGCATTTACATACAAGTTAAAAATCTCAAATGACATCATAAAATATTGAAAACTGGAAAAGATGAGTGCTGACGTTTGGCAGGGTTTTGACAGGTGTCAAAATGGTTAAGATTTATCGACTTAACTTGATCAACCTAGTAGAAATAGATTTCTTGTTCATCAAAATCTGCCATAGTTACTCTGCTTTTGGATATAAGATTCCAATATTTGACAGCTAACCACGCCTCACCAGTCATATATACAGGGTTGTGCCCATGGTAAAAAATGTTGCTTACGGCATCCCCAATAACATATTTAAATTTCATCCAAATATCACGGTAACCAATTTCCATTTAAATATTGCGGGGTCCAGTAATTTCAATATTTTTTCTTGTCCATGTCAACCTGCTTACACAAATTTGAATTGGAAGTGAGCGTAACCTTGAAAATAATTTGAAAAATAGACGAAAATACAGTTTGCCATGTTGCCAAATTTCGCTTCCAATTCAAATTAGAATTGAATGTAAATGTAGCTTAACTGTTACAAAGCCTATATTCCAGCCTGACACGAAGCATAGACGGCTGAATACTGGACACACCGGTATAGGTACCCGACCTGACATAAAGCATATGTCTCACACAAACCTGACACAAAGCATAGGTTCAATAAGTATCTGACACACAGCATAGATACACGACCTGACACAAAGCATAGGCCTTACAAATGCCTGACACATAGGCAATATTCACGTTTTAAAAATAGTAAATATTATTATAAATAATTCACAAGAAAAAAAAAGTCTATATATCTACATTCGAAAGGCCTCTAGCTATTTACACATTACGTCTGTCACAGTTCACGCCTCAATCGCATAATAAAGAACACTGAAGACGTAGCAACATAAGCAGGGTTCGGCTATTCAGCGCGGAGTTGGAGTGGAGTGAACAGAGCTAATGTATTCACCCCTTATACGGTAAAAAGCAATACCCGAACCTTAACCCGAACGGCTGGAGTCACTCGGAGTG